ACAGGGGTGCAAGGGCCATTCATTGTTCCAATCAGGCACTCCTGGCTATCTTCATCCACCCCCCAGCCCCCAGTTGGAAGTAACATGCTGCCGGCCGCCCCTTCCGCTAGGAACCCCCCTCTCTGACGGCCCAGCCTCTCGTCTATCTTCTGTCCCTCTACCCAGGGGACGGGTCATCGGAGTCCTGGGCCTGGCTCCACCTCCCCTGGATCCTGCCGGCAAGACGTTCTAGCTGGGGCGATCCAGGCGGTCAGACGCTTCCACAAGGGGGCGCTGAGAGGGCGCTGGAAAGACTTAAGCGGGGCGGGGCGGGGAGGGCCCTGCTGCGTCATGGGGGGCGAGTGGGAGCAGGGAGGGACCCAGATCGTCAGCCTGACGGCGGCTGTCTTCCCTCCCCACAGGGCAACCGCGACTCCTCACTGGAGCCCTCTCCCTCCTGTCTCTCCTCCCAGACCCCCTTCTGTCTTGCCCCAATCATTCCCCTCTCTCTCCGGTTTGGATTCCTCAGTCAAGGTGAAAGAGCACTCGAGTGGGAGGCAGACCTAAGTTTGAATCCTGACCCTGCCACTTAATAGCTGGACTGCCTTATCCAAGGTCCTCAACCTCCCCAAGCCGGCCTGTAAAATGGAGCCAATAATGCTACCTACTGTGGACAGAGCAGGAGCTCAGGAAACGTCAGCTTCCTGCCCATATCCCGCCCTCATCTCACGTTTCCCTCTTTTCTGTTCTCCCCCAGCTTTTTTTTTAATCCCTTCCTCCTGCGCTCTTTCTCTTCCCAGCTCTGCTCGCTCAGCCAAACCGCAGCCCTGAGCAATCCTGCGCGCCCACCCCGCGCCCGGGAAGCCTTGTGACCGCCACGACCCAACCAGCGGCCAGACCGCCGCCCCGCGACCGCCCCAGCCCAGCCCAGCCAGGGGGTCGTGCCCGCCTCGACGTGCCTCGCCCGCCCCCAACCCACCTGGAGGTCGCACTACTCTCCATCCAGCGGCCCAGCCACCGGCCGGCGCCCACCTCCAGCCCCGCTCAACACGCGGGTCGCGCCAGCGTGGACGTACCTCGTCCTGTCCTCAGCTTAGCGGGGATCGCGCCCGGCCTCGACGCATCTCGTGTTCCCCTAGACCACCCAGAGGCCGCGCCCCGCCCCTCTCCCCCCCCCCCGGGCCCAGCCCACCCGGGAGTCGCTGCCCGCCCCGCCGGCCTACGCCCGCCTCTTGTCAACTGAGGGTCGCGCCCTGCCCCGCAACCCTGGCCTTGTCCTTCCCTTGGGAGCGGCGCCCCAACCCACCCGCCGCCAGGGCCTCGAGGACCGGGGGAAGCGGGGTGCGCCAGCCAGGGCCGTGTCCGGGTGGCCGAGGGCACCGGGCGTGGCGGCAGGCTCGGGCCGCCAGGGCTGCGAACGCCAGCGCGACCGCAGCCCGAGGGCGACGCTGCAAATAGCCGCGGTTTGCACCCGCTGCCCTGCCTCCCTCCCGACCCTCCGGACCTTTGGGCTTTCTCTCCCTTCCTCCAGCCGCCCTCTCCACCCTGCCTCATGTCCTCCGCCTCAGACCCGCTGTTCGCCCGCCACATCCTGCCCCACGCAGGCAGGCGGGGAGCCGGAGCCGGACCCAGGAGACTAGCGCCGAGGTCCGGGCTCCGGAGGTCTAATAATCACAATTAAGTTAGGATTAATTGAGCGCTTACTGTGTGCCAGCCGCTGTGCTGAGCGCTTCGCGAACAGGAATTCATGAAATTTTTACAACAGCCCAATGAAGGGCAGCTGTAATTTGCAGATGGAGAAATTGAAGCTCAGAGAGACCCCTTAGGTCCTCAGGTCACCTGTTTGGACCGGCAGAGTAGGAAGTCAGCTCTGGGGCCCACAGCTGTTCTGCCTCTGGCAGGACAAGGCGCCCCCCCTCCCCCGCAAGACCGAGGCCCTAATGCGAGGTGGGAGGAGAGGACTGGGGTTCCAGGATGCAAGTTGGACACTAATGTGCAGTGTTACCTGGAGCAAACCCCACTGCCTCAGTTTCCACATCTGTAAAAAGAAGGAGATGAAAGGCAAAATTCTGGTACCTGTAAGGAAGAACTTTTTTAAGGATGGTGAAAAATACAAAATGGAATGTGAGGGGAGTACAGGTCTGTTCTTGGGAAAGTTCAGTGGGAGGCTGAGTGACTGCTGCCTTGGGGTGTTAAGACAGGCCCACACACAGGGTGGCTGCTTCAGAATTAGCCTAAGACCCAGGCATCTGTAGTTTAGCAAAGGCAGAAATTTTGAAGCCATCCAGGCTTAACCAAATCAGTTGTACTCCAGTCAACCTCGATCATGGTGACCCCATGTGTGTCATAGTAGAACTGTGCTCCACAGGGTTTTCAATAGCTGCTTTTTTGGAAGTAGATTGCCAGATCTACCTTCCAAGGTGCCTCTGGTGGACTCGAACTTCCAGTCTTTTAGTTAGCAGTTGAGTGTGTTAGCAGTTTGGACCATCCAGGTTTTGGACCCGCCAAAGACATTCCAGGAAGAGGGGGAGTCCTCTCTAACCACTCCCCAGTTGCCCTCATCTCTGCCTTAGCTGGCCTGAACCCAGAACGACTGCATGTTTAAGTGCTCACCTGCTAACCAAAAGGACAGTGGTTCAAACCCACCAGCTACTCCACGAGAGAAAGATGTGGGAGTCTGCTTCTGTAAAGATTACAGCCTTGGAAACCCTATGGGGCAGTTCTACTCTGTCCTACAGGGTCACTATGAGGTGGAATCGACTCAACAGCAGTGGGTGGGTATGTGAGAAAATAGGTCAGTTTGCACTGGACTATTAACATAAAGGTTGGTGGTTTGAACCCACCCAATAATGAGAAAGGCCTGGCTATCTGATTCCATTAAGATTACAGCCAAAAACCCTATGGAGCAGTTCTACTTTGTAACACATGGGGTTGCCATGAGTTGGAATCGACTCAAAGCCAACCAAATATGAGAAAGACTGCCTGGTGATCTACTTCTGAAAGATCACAGCCATTAAAAACCCTATGGAGCGAAGTTCTACTCTGAAACGCATGGGGTCACCATGAGACAGAATTGACTTGACAGCAACGGGTTTTTTTTGTTTGTTTTTTTTAATGTTCTGAGCACACGTATATCACAGCTCCACTCTCAGAAAGCTCATTGCATCATCAGCCCAGCCACTTTGGGAGAACTGAAGCAATGTGGCCTTCTTCCGGGGTGCACATCCCGTGCAGGCTGTGTGGCTTGGTGCACAGGATCAGGACTGAGTTTCATCTCCACTTTTCCCCTTGGTAGCCGCCCTTGTTCACAACACAATCTGCACAACCTCTCACAGCAGTCCTTACAGGCCACAGAAATGTAAAGCAAAAGATATTGAGAACACCCAGAAAAGAGGCCAATTAATTCTTGCCAGAGACAGGAGCAGAGACAGAAAAACTCTGAGGTGGACGTGAACATTAAGCTGGCCCTTTAAGAATCAGCAGGCGTTCACCAGGTGGCAAAGGAAGAAAAGACACTCCAGGCAGCGGCAACAGCAAAGGCAAAATCATGGAGGCATGAAGTCTCAGCCGTTCTGGGAGTGAGTGGTGCGGCGTGTCCAGGGCAGGACTGGGAAGGAGGGTGCTCTTCCCTTCACCCCTACAGCAGTCAGCTCGCACCTCTCTGCCAGCATGTACCAAGCTGAACATAGTGTATCTGGCAACCACAAGCCTCCTCGTCTGGACTGTGAGATGTGGTAGGACAAAGACAGACAGGGTCTTATTCATCTTCTGCGGCAGTGTCTCACCCAGTGGCGATAATAGTAACGATAATAGTTAACAGGTATTAAATATTTACCATCACGCAGTGGGCTAAGTGCTTTACATGCATTATCTTATTTCATCCTCAAACCACCTTGGAAGTAAGTGGTATTATTAATTCCATTTTACAGATGAGGCTGAGAGGGCTTAAGTAATGTGCCTAAGATCACACAGCTATTTAGTGCTGGAAGTAGGATTAGAATTCAGGTCTCTCTACTGCAGAGCTCTTGTTCTAGACGGACAGATGGACTGGTGGATGGGTGGATGGATGGACAGATGGAGAGGAACTAGACTGAGAACTGCCTTGAATGTCATGCTAGGGAGCTTGAACTTTACCCCAAGGGCAATGGGGGGACATTAGAAGGTCGGAAGCAGGGAGATACAGGTTAGGGTTTTAGATCATTTTGACAGCATTGGGAAGACACTGTAGAGCCGATAAAACTTGAGGCAGGAGGTCATTTTTTCTGGCAAATCTCAATTCCTTCTTGTGAGGATCTTCTTTTTTTTTTAATTTTTATTTTTTAAAGCACTGTGTTCTTTCTCTTGGGGAAGACATGTGCTTCTATGCACACACTATTGATGGAGGAGAGGAAGGGGGACTCAGAACTTTGTGAGGGGACAGTCCAGTGAGAGGGAGGGGCCCAGTGACAAGAGGGGGGCTCTGTGGGAAAGTTCCTCAGAATCAGGGGTTGGGCCTCAGGGTTGGGAGAGAGCTGAGAGCCTGGGAAAGTAATTCTCAGGGACGGAGGCTGAATATTTAGGGTAGAGAGAGACAAGTGGTGGAAATACTGGCTACATTCTGGAGGGCTTCTGTGCAGGCGAGCAGAGCACCATTCTACCATGAGAAGGGCCCCTTGGGGCCTCCAGCCACTCAGTCTCCAGGCCCCACACACTGCCCCTTTGTGTACCTGGGAGCAAATGCAGCCAAGGGTGAGGCAGGTGTTGCATCAGATGCTAAGTCCAGGGATCAAGTGTTGGGGGTGGTGGTGGGAGAGGTCTGGTCCCTCCTTCTGAGGCAGTGCCACAACATCACTGGCCCAGGAAACGCCCCAGGGGTCAGATAAGCTGAAGGAAGGGAGCAGGCTAGCTGGATGGACCAGAGAACAGGGGGAACTTCCTCCACCTACAAGAAACGAGCCAGGAGTCCCCGGGAGCCTCTTGGAGGTGGCGTCTTCGGGCTCACAGAAGTTCCTCAAGGGTCCCAGGCCACAGCAGTGTCCACCATGCTGCTCTGCCTCACCCTGATTCTCCTGATGGGGCTGTCTGTGTGCACCGTGGCTGGGGACAGCAGAGAGGAGCTGACACTCAGCGCTGAAGCAGGGCCCTGGGTAACCGTAACCCTGGAGGGGGAGAGGCGCTGACCAGAGCAGGGGTGACCCATGGTGGAGGGGGTGGAAAATTCCTACAACGGCTGCAAGAGAGCAGGTTGTACAAGGCAAGTCAGGATGTCTGACTCCCTCTCTGCAGGTAGGTTCAAGGCCATGGCCCCTGGCCAGGTAGACTTCCAAAGTGGCACATACCAGATCTGGTAACAATCTGTATGTGTGTATGCATGTGTGTGTTTATTTAACAAAGACTGACTGAACACATGCTATGTTCCCGGCACTATTCTAAATGCTTTATAAATGTTAACTCATTTAATCCTCATATCCTTTATGAGGTCGACGCCATTACTATCCCCAGTTTGCAGATGAGGAAACTGAGGCACAGAGAGGTCAAGTAGTTTGTCCAGGTTACACGGCTTCAAAATCACAACTACACCTTGCTCAAGGCCCAAAATCTTCTTTCAAGGGGATGAAGTTGTGGCAGAATCATCATTTTGTCTCACATGTAGAAACTCTTATTTCATTTCCTGACAACCAGCAAGTACTGCTTTGATTGCCTGTCTCTTTTACTAAACTGATGTAAGCCCTGTGCTGTCCCTGGGGAGATATCTAAAAGTTGGAGACACAACATCTGCCCCCCAGTCTGATGGCGGAGACAAAGAGCCTGACCTCAGGGAGCTCCCAATAAGATGGAGGAAAGAGGCCAACAGACCAGAGTCAAAACCAGGGAAGGTTTTGATCAGGGAAGGCTTCCAGCAGGGGGACAGATGGAACAAGGCTGAGCCTAGCTCCTCAACCCTCCTGGGGTGGTGAGGACACTGGGCCTGTCTTGGCAGAGGAAGCCCTGCTTGTGGTCCCAGGCCAGGGTGAGGTCCCTAGAAACTCTAGTCCTTAGAAATGCGGCCACTGGGAGAGCGATCTACTGGACAGCCATTGATGGTGAGTTTCCTTCTTTGTTTGTCTAAACATGAAAGTATGTGGTTGAGAAGACAGCGGGACTGGGAGGCCTGGGTTCAAGTGCTGGCTTCTCTACTGGCTCCCTGTGACCTTGTGAAGGTCACTGCAACTCTCTGGACACCAGTTTCCCCACCTTAAAATGAGGGGGGTTAGATGATTTTCAATTTTTTTTTTAAGCTTTGACATGCTTTATGGAGTCAGTGTCAAACCTGAGGGTAACTGGCCCAGAGACAGGCTGAGCTGTGTGATGGGAGGTCTCTATGCAGCCACCTGCACAACATCATCATAAACTTTTACTGGTGCTGCTGGGCTTTCCACCCACAAGCACCTCACCCTGAAGCTGGGTCTATTCCTTATTCTCTGTTCACTATCCTTTAATATTTCTCCTCTTCCCCAAGACACAGGGCTTAGAATGCAGAAGACTGGGTTAGCACGCAGGAAGAACTTAAAAACACTGTGGGTTGCTCCACATGAATACAGGGGAGATGATGGAAGGAATGGAGGCACCTTCAAGGATGATCTGATCACATTCCTAGCTCTCAGGGCTCCCCCATCTGCAGTAAATACAGTTGGGATTTGAATTAAAAAGAATTGGAGAGCTCAGGAGGGGGCAAGAATCCTTCCAAATGGGAACAGATGTCTCGTAATGATCCCCTAGAAGCACAATGGGTGGGAGAAGTGTGAGTCCTATTTAATTCATAACGGTCATTCTCTCAGCCTGCACTTGAAGGCCGTCTTTTACCAAGGCAAAGTGGTCTTCATGAGCTTTTCAGAAACGGGTCTAAATCTCCAAAGAGCCTTTTCCAGTTCCTGGCCAGGCTGGGTGACTCCAGCCTGACCTCAGGGAGGTCAGACAGCTGCCCCAGCTGCTAACGTCCAAGAGAACAGACAGATTGGCTGAATTAGTCTAAGGCTTAGAAAACAATCCACTCCTGATCCTGAAAGTTGGCACAAGGCAAGTTATGAGACACCAAGGGGTTTCCACTGCCTGCTGGTCCCTGCTGGTCCCAGGGACTCCAACACTGCCCCTGGGAAATTGGCGATGGAAGAAAGAGCCCCTGATCCAACCCCTGCTCCCAGGCTCCTGGGAGCTCTGTTTACCTGTCTTCCACCTTGCTGGAAAAGGAGACCCCATCCCTGCCCTATTCTCAGACTGTCAGAGAAAGGGCCCTCATTGACCATTCTGCACCCACATGTGCTGAGCTCCTGTGTGCACCAGGCCCTGTGCCAGGTACTGGGGAGAGAGACGCAAGGACAGTCTAATGAACGTCACTCACTCAACTAGTGGCATCTCTACTTTTCAGCTGATCTGAGCAGGCCCTTCTTCCAGGCTCAGGTTGAGGCCAGAGAAGGAGAGGACTTTGGCCAAGGTCTCAAAGGCTAATGGAGGAACTAGAATTTAAACCCAGAGCCCTTGGTCCAGGACTTTCCCCCCATCAGCTCAGGAATTAAAATGTCTTTGCCCAGGGTAATAGCTTCCACCCTCAGATCACATGCCGTATTCCTACTGGAGGCCCAGGCTCTAGGGCAGGGTAAATCTAGGACAATGAGGGAAGTGCCTAGAGAAGGGAGGAGAAGCCACCCTGTATTGCCTACTGGGTGCCCACCCTGAGTTCATCTGCTGCCCCCTTCTTGTCTTTGCTGGAGTCATTTCCCAAGACAAAGCAGAACTTAGGCTATGGAGTCAGACTTCTTGAGTTTGAATCCTGACTCAAATACTTCCTTTGTAACTTTGGACAAGTCATGTAACATCCTTGAGCCTCAGTTTCCCCATCTGTAATATGGGCATAAATCATGGTTGTGAAGATTAAATGAGATTAAGAGTTTAGTGTTTAAGAGCCCAGCTTCTGAGCCAGATGACCAGGGTGCAATTTCTGGCTCCATTTCTCACTTCCTAGCTGGGCAAACTTAGACAAATTATTTAATCTCTGTGCCTTGTTGTTTTCATCTGTAAAATGATGACAGTAGTAATACTTACCTAACGGGGTTTTGATGAGGATTACATAAGTTAATACATTAAAGTGCTTAGAACAGTACCAGGAACATAGTAGGTGAAATGCCAGCTGTTTATTATTACTGTTACGTACGTTATTGTGTAAAAGATGCAAAAGAGCCCAGTGCCAGCCCAGAGCAAGTGTTCACTGACTGTGAGCTGTGGTTACTGAGGTGATTATTGCTCAGGCTACACTCCCTTGTTTCCTCACCACGTCTCCCCAGTTCTAACTCTCTGCTTCTCCAGGAAGGCGCTGTGCTCAGCATTCAGCTCCAACTTCAGGAAGTGAAGAGGGGCAAGGCAAGCCAGTTCTTTGGGCTGATGGGGAAGCAGGTGGTAGGTGAGTGACGAAGGTGGGCAGTGCCCAGTAAGGAGTGGTTCTGCATGGGTTTCCGAAACACCAAGGGGAAAACCTAGGTTCAAGCCCAGGACCTGGGGTCAGTTACTCCAATCCAGCAGGGGGCACTCTCCCAATGGGATGGGGGTAGAGTGTCCATATAAATTACCATCCAAACCAGGATACTTTGGAGAGTTAATAATCATACAGGGCAACAGGTGTAAATTGGGTCTGTCCCCAGCACGTGGGGAGTCAGATCACCCTTAGGGTGCAGGCAACTGCTCTGCAACCTGGCTGGTACCCTTGCCTCGGATATATGGATGACTTTGGAGAATAGAGATGAAGCTAGAGCTCAGGGTCTAGAGGTAAGCAAAGCCACAGGCCAAGTTTTCTAGTCAATACTATTTGGCCCAAACTACTATTAAAATGAACCTGTGTTTCCTGAGGGCACTGTCAGCCTGGGAGTCATGCCCTGGGTGACAAGGAGAAAACAGTCTGGACAGACAGCAATTTTTTCTTATTGTCAACTTTCTTTTTTTAAAGTGGTAATGCACGGTGTTGGTGAGGGTGTGAAGAAAGTGGCACTTTTGTACCCTGTCTATTTGGAAGCCATCTTGGTGGCATTCTTCAGAGTTGGGAATATGCATACATTTGACCAGCAGCCTCACTTCAGAGAATCTAACAAACAGAAACGCTGTTCCTACGTGAGCCCTGAGATGTTGGTACCAGAGTGAACACTGCCAACTTGTTTGTAACAGCAAGAATTTGGGAATAACAGAAAGAATTATCAATACGGACATGGTCAAAGTGCATTAGGTACATCCATAAACTTTGTGGCCATTTAAAAAAATGAGGCAGATCTGTGGTAAGACATGGAAAGTTCTCCAGGATATATGATTAAGCAGAAAAAGCAAGCGACAGAATATGGGTGCTAGGCGCCTACTTGTTTAAAAAAGCACACATACATACATACATATATATATATATACATATAAATGCATACAGAAACTTCTAGAAAGATAAATACCAAATTGTCAACAGTGGTTGTTAAAAGTGCTTAGAACAGTGCCAGGAACATAGTAGGTGAAATGTCAGCTATTTATTATTACTGTTATGTACACTATTGTGTAAAAGATGGAAAAGAGCCCAAGTTGAGGCTAGAGAACGAGAGGAAGTGGAAGTGAGAGAGAGTGAAGAGGGACTTTAATTTTTACTGTATATACCTCTGTATTATCTGAATTTTTTTTATAGTGGGCATGTAGTCAAGGGCTGCTTTTGTAATAAAAAACATGCATATAAAAAATAGAGAAAACAGTTCTTGTGACTAAATACTTTTGGCTTTTGGTTCGTCTGCAAAATGTGTTTTAGACTGGGCCATTTCAAAGTTCTCCTTCAAATCTAACAACCCATGAGGAGCAGGGGTTGGGGCTATAAGTAAAATATTTCTTGAGCACCTACTATGCTCACACATGACTAAATATCCATAATAACATCCCCCTTATAACCAGTGGGAAACCTGCGGCTCAGGTAAGTACTTTTCCCAAGTATGCCCAGCACAGGTGCCTCTGACTCCAAGTCTGTGTACTTCCCACTACTCCACACTGCTTCCTAGAAGGAGCAGCCGAGTGGCTCAGCCACACAGGGACAATGGGGACCAACTAGAGTCCCACTGAAGACCCACCAGAGGCACCAAACTCCCAAAAGCCATGAGCCCTTCCCACTTCACCAAGCCCCCAGTAAAGCAGTACTATCCTCATTCCTGCTTTCTCTTTCCCCAGGAATGTCACCAGTCCAGCCAGTGAGAAGACAGGTAAGTGTTGCCCAGGCCTTCCCCTCAGCATCCTTCCTGAGAAGCGTAGATATTTCCAGGCCACCAACAGTCAGGGGGATTTGGGAGACGCTCTGGCCAGGCCGGCAGAGCTCTGCAGAGGGTGGGCCAGCATGGTTTAGCCACACATTGGCTTCTTGGGCAGATTCTTGTGGTTGTTCCCACCGTGGGGTGGTGTGTGCCACTTAGGGAGTGGATGCAGGAATAAGGGAAGACAAGGATAAATCTAGTTCTGCGAAATGTTCAGTTACCTTGGGCCTAAAGGCTGGGGTTGGAAAAGCAAATCAACCAAAGATAGGAATGCTCAGTGTTTCAATCCATTCCTCACCCTGTACCCAGAAGGATCTTAAAAGTGAAAATCTGAGCAGTCACTCTCCTGCATAAAATCTTCAGTGAAAAAGGAAAAGCAAAAACAAAACAAGCCATCTTTTACCCACCACCCTCTCGTGCTCTCAGGATCAAGTCCAACCCCCAACATGGCTCACCAGATTGCCCAGCCCCATCTCTTATGGCTCTCCTTCCCTGTTCACCTGCCCTACCCAAAGCACAGTGCACTATACTGTCCTGCTGGGGTACGTGGCTGGTGTCCCCAAACTGGGAACTCCCGAAGGGCAGGCACCAGCTCTGCCACTGGCTCTGTATGCCCAACCTCCAGCAGTTTCTGCCTATTGGAGGCACCCACTAGGTGTTTGTAGAAGGGAGGGAGGGAGGATAAAGGAGAGAATGGGAGGAATCAATGAATGAATAGTGAAGGAATGAACCAATCCATAGCTTTTCATCAACTCCCAGAATGATTGAGAAATGACCCCATTTACAAGGCTCCAACTTCCCAAGACAGACTTCTCTGCTGCACTCTCTCTCTCCTCTCTCCGTCAGCAGGGTATGAGCAAGGACAGGTGGTCCGGGGCCTCCTGGGCAGGAGAGGACCATCTACAGGAGGTAGGTCACATGTACATCCTGGGAAAGCAGCCAGACATTTTGACGCCAGTCTCCAAGCTGGGGGCTAGGCAGTTGGACAGACAAAACAGGCTCTCCACAAGCCATCAGGTGGAGGGAGGCCCCACAGGAGAGGGCTGTCGAGGTGTAGGGAGGTGGTCCTCTTGATGATCCAGGCCTGAAACAGCCATAGCTCTGACGCTGCAACCTCCCCGCCCCCAAAACACCCAGGCACACTGTCCCCAGGGGGCCAGCTGAACCCACAAAGAATGACTCTTAGTTTACCAGACCTGGAACATTTCCCTTGTTCCCTCATTGCCTTAAAGTTCTAATCTTTGATCATTAGACTCGCACCTTTGGCCTTAGGAGATCTTCTGCCTTCAACAGTTGCAAATTATCCTGGGAGAGTTAACACCCTAAGCAGTTATCAGCTAACACCTTCTGGTAGGGGGCCACAGACTCAAGTGGTTCCAAGGGGCCAGGCATAAAAGTAAGTGAAGCCGACTGGGGAGAACAGCGGCTCAAATGACCTCACACCAGAGGAAGGGCAGTGGGTGCCCAGGGCCCACGAACTTGAGTTCCAGTCTGCCTTCCCTAATGCCTACCCTCTTCCCCCAGAGTGGCAGACTTCTGGCCCCACCCTAGCTTCCCTGATTAAGCACCTGCTCATTCCAATACTGCCTCTTGGGAACAAAGATGGGAAAGTGCTCTGCTGTCCCTTGAAAAGTTTTTTCACAAAATATTCAAGCCATTCAAAGGGTCATGGAATTCCCCCAGTAGCAAACAGAAATGAACACCCCTCAAGGGGTCGTGTGGGCAGGAACGTTAGAAGTCATTCTGCAGTGACGGAAAGCAACCGGCCCAAAGTCCCAATGAGCTAATAACAGAGCCAGGACTGAAAGCTGTGCCTCCTGCTCCCTAGTCCAGGGCACTCTCCCTGTCCCCAGGAGAGCCTGAGAATTTCTGAACACTGCTACTACTTCCCTTCCTTTAGAAATGGGAACTGAGGGTTGAGTGGCTGGCTCTGTCTATGCTCCAGGGGTGTTTACAATTGAATAATGGACTATATGGCCGATGAACTTATAATTTGTTGCCATGGATATTTACAGACAGGAGACCTGGGTGAGGGAAAAGGAGGGCCTTGAGTGGAGTGCCTGTGGAAGGCCTCCAAGGGTGGAGGACACAGACAGTCTCCCCTAACCACCTGTCCATGTTCAGAGCGCTCTCCAGACCGAGAGGACCAAGGTCCAGAGTGAGAGCCCAACTGCATGCTTCCCAGAGAACAAAGACCCGCCTTCCCCTACCTGGATGTCCAGCTGACAGGCAGGCCAGGCCAACTTTCTTCTTCGTGTGTCTTGTTCTCCATCCTGGAGTTTCACACCAGGCCCGCACTGAACTCGTGGGCTTCCCCTCCAGGATGCTCCGTCTCAAGCAGCAGTTGTGCATAAATGCACTGTTGTCACCCTTGAGAGCCAGAGTGACCCAGCCTCCCTCGACACTGAGCTCTCATCTCAATGTCTAGAGGGGACAAGGCTCACAAATTCCTGTTTCCCCTGTGCCCAGCACGGGCTCAATAAATGACTGAACAGTGAATGGCTTCTTCTCTGGTTCAGGGCATGGGGGCAGAAATGACCTGGGCTCTGCACCCTGCCCAGTAGCCTACCTGACATGTCAGCAAATTGCAAAGAGAAATACTGAGACCTAGTCCCCACACAAGGGTGGGAAAACAAGCTTGACACACATGTGAGGATGACAGACAGATGAGAAATGGGAAGACCCTGACTGGGTACGGAGGTAGCACAGGTATCTTTGAGTGGAGGGGATTTGAGGGCAGTGAGCCCTTTTTCCCTTTAGGATCATAAGAAGCTCCATCCTAAAGAGGACATCCTCCTCCTACCCACAGTCATGATCTTAAGGATTAAAATCCATGTATCTACTGACTTGGAGAAGAATTGGGGCCCATGTCATTCATCAATTCTCTTGTATATGATGGCTCTTCAACTAATTGCTTTGCTTTTAGGACACAGGCAGTCAGCCACCCACTGAGCACTACTCACCCCTAAGCACTGGGAAAAGCTCGAGGAATGATGGGGAGACCACTGTCCCTGCCCCAGTGGTCTGTGGGCAAGGCAGGACACAAAGGACTCCAGCCAGAGTGAAATCCTAGAGTGCGAATCTAGGTCCTAAGCATTGAGGTGCTGAACAAAGGAGTTGGGAGTGGTATGGGTGGCTTCAGCAATAAAGGAGGGCTCATCCATTCACTGTTATGTAACATTGTGTCCCTCTCTCCAAAAAAAAGGGATTCTGTTAGTTGTCTCAGGCATATAATTCTTCAGGGGGAGCAAAGGGAAGTATTCCTAGGCTATGTTTAAATGGAGGGGAAGATGGGGATTGGTGGAGAACACAGGAGCTTCATGTGGATGCCAGGTAAGGCTTTAAGTGATAGCAGAGGCCACTAAGGAGAGGAGGCAAAGATTTCTTCTATTTGCCCTATAGTGAAATAGCCTTTTTCTCAAGACCGACTGTTTACCATGAGCCCCAAGTTCCCTGCAGACAGTAAACCCTGCATTCATTCTCCACGTCACCACCATGTTCATGCAGTGTAGGGCAAATAAAATATACAGATGGAGTGGCCCAAGCCTCCTCCTCAGAGTCTGGCACTACTACAAAATTTCCCATTCAATGTACTACTCATTCCATCCATCCCGAACCTACCAGGCATCCCTGGTGCCTCCCCGACCTCATCCCCCCACACCCAGCGCTGTGGTCCCAAGAGGTGGTCCACTGAGATAAACCTAACTCAAAGGAGCAGCAAAGAGGAATGAAGATTTTATTCTGGTGTTTATTTGGACACTTAGAAAAAATGAAATTCACCAAATATTTAGGTAGTATCCTCTCTGTGCCAGCACTTCACTAGGAACTCAGATGGGACTAGGGGTACAAAAGAAGTAGGAGATTGGAATTTGTCTTTGAAGACCTAAACGCCTTTATAGGAGAGCCAAGATTCACTCATTCTGTGCAAAGCCCACACACTGCTCTCCAGTCCTATCTTTTTCGAACCCACCAGGTTCACTCAAGCTTCTGGTTTCTGAACATGCCGTTCTCTCCTTTCTGGTGAATTCTTACCCAGAGGTCAATTTCTCTGTGAAGGTTTCCTACCCCAGGAACCACCCAGTCATTCCCTCCTCCAAGTTCCCAAGTGCCTTGCATTACATTACAGAATTTAATGTGTATTATAATGTTGTTAAAATTAATGGGAGATAAAAGACAAAGTTTCTCAAGGGCAGGGACATCTTAGTTCTCTTTGTACCACCTCTGCAAGTGTCAGCGATACTGTAGGCATGTAAGAGGTCCTTCGAGAGTTTTGGCAAAGGATACACATTTCCTGTCTGCAGGGAATTCCTGTTTCTAGGGAGCCATAAGCAGTCCTGGTGGCACAGTGCTTAAAGCGCTCGGCCACTAACTGAAAGGTTGGCATTTGAACCTATCAGCCGCTTCACAGGAGAGACAGCAGTCTGCTTCTGTGAAGATTTACAGCCTTGGAAACCCTATGGGGCAGTTCTACTCTGTCCTACAGGGTCACTATGAGTCGATGGCAGTGGGTTTGTTTTGTTTTTTCTAAGAAGCCAAACTTAATACAAGTAACTGAAGTGAATAATAGCTACCATCTACTGAACACGTATCTTTGTAGTTCTCAAACTCAACATACCCAAACAATGAACTCTTGATCTGCAGCTCAAAGCTATCCTCTCGTTTTCTGCTTCTCTGCACAAGGCACCTCCATGTATCCAGCCGTTCAAGCTAGAAACCTAGGCGTTACCCTCAACTCCTCACATCTAATCCATCCCCTAGTTGTTGATTCTGCTTCCCCAAAATCTCAAGTTCATACACTTCTTGCCATCTTCATTGCCACGGTTAACAGAAACCACCCTCATCCCTTGCCTACAGGGCAGTAGCCTAACTGACCTCCCTGCTTCCTGTCACTCACCCACCCACCCCCAGCCATTCTTCCCCAGAGCATGACCTTTTAAAATGGGAAAGTGGATCATGTTCATCCTCAACTAGCCACAGTTCAAGTTTCCTCGGTTAAAAATGGCATCCTTGCTGTGGCCTCCAAGGCTCTCTGGCCTCTCCCCCGTCAATCACCTTGTCCCAGCTGCAGGGCTCTCTCTCAGGCACTCACACACATCACGTGCTCGTCTGCCTTGGGGGCTGCGCACGAGCTCTCTCCTGTCTGCAATATTCCCCTGGCTCCCCTAACTCCTCCTCATCTTTCAGGTCCCTGGGTAAAGGCCCTTCCTCAGACTGGGCCTGCTTGATCCCCAAGTTCAACTCGTTCCCTCCTATTACTTTCACAACACCCTGTCCTTTTCCCTCATAGCACTGATCACATTAGTAATTACATTTAATATCTGTCTCCTCCAGGACATGGCAAGTCCCATGTTTTTTGTCTACCATTGAATATCCAGTTTCCAAGGCTTAATGGCACTCAATGAATATTTGTTTATTGAATAAATAAATGAGTATGTCAGGTATTCTGGAAGACATTTTACCTTCACAATTGCTATCCCATTCTCCAGCTGAAGATAAGCCACTTGTTTCAAGTACATAGGAAATGGCAGAGCCAGGATTTGAGCCAAGATGCCTTGACTGCAAAAACTCTAAACCTTCACACTTCCTGGTCTATACCTGAATCCTATAGGGAAGTTTCAGGTGGAATTATAAGGAAGCCTTCACAAGGAAAGCTAGGCCTATTTGAATAGGCAGGAAATAAACACTTCCCAAAAGTTGGCTCACCAGAATACCAGTCCCTTGAGGCTCCTTAGAAAAACAACGATCCCAGATCAAATCATTTTAGAAAATATTACATTGTGTATCCCCTCTTGGAAAATCTCAATGCCCATTAGCTTACTGGAGGTTTTGAGAAGTTTTGATGTCCAGAAACTTATCAGTAGAAGAAGTCCCCAACTTATGATATATTCGAGTTATGACAAACCGCACTTAACAATTGTCCTTTTTTTGATACATATTATTGTTAGTAATATGTACTACATACAATGTTGCAGTGCGTAATTTGCTGGTGTTCTCATTCTCAGATGTTCACTCTCAAAAGTTCAACTTTATGATTTACTGTTCAAAACACTGCCATGTTTTAAAATGAAAACTAAACAAAAGAGGCATTTGATTTACATAAGAACTGATTTACAACGGAGTTGTGGGTACAGAACCCTGTCGTAAGGCAGAGATTGCCTATATTTAACTTTTTCTCCCCCAGTAGCTAACTTATTTTCAAAGTTGGGAATCCCCAGGTGGTGCAACGGTTAACGTGCTTGGCTGCTAACAAAAAGCTGGTGGTTCGAGTCCATCCAGAGGCACCTTGGAAGAAAGGCCTAGTGATCTACTTCCAAAATAGCAGCCACTGAAAACCCTATAGAGCACAGTTCATTGGTCTGTATCAAATCATCCCAAAACATAATGGTTTAAAATAGTTATTTCTCATGAAACTCTGGGTTGACTCTCATACACATGGTCTACTCATTCAGTAGTTTAGCTCAAGCTTTACATGGCAGCTGGTTTCCAAAAGAGCAAAAATGGAAGCTGCCAGATTATCACTTCTGGTCATTCTATTCATCAAAGTCACAAAGCCAGCTCACATTTAAAAAGAAAGAAAACAGACCTCTTACTGGAAGGAGCAGCACATCTATGGGGGCATGGGTGGAATTGTTGGTGGCCATCTTTGGAGATGATCTACCACACCTCTATATTCACAAGAGTGCAGGCTTCTGATAATCTTGGGAAAAAAGTAAATGTAAGGTAAGCTGTTTCCAGAAACAAATATCCAGTTAAGAACAAAGACTGGCTTCTTGGAATGAACACAACTCGTCAAGGCTGCAGGTGTTCATCTTTCACATGGAACATTTGGGAGCAATGAAGCCAAAGTTGTGCAACAGCATAGGTTATTTTCTCCACTTTTGGGCAAAAACAAACCCCCAAATCCCAAAATGGTGGCAGCATGACTTGCATCTAAAGGCCTAGGTATTGCACAAGAGGGAAGAGACACACTAATGTTTCAGCATCAAGGGCATTTTTCACCATCAAGCATTCCTTTGTTTCCTTCTCAGTGACAGCCATTGGTATTTTATCAAAGACACCACAAAGGAAGTGGACAATTACACTGCCCCCGTGAGCACGGAACAGTCTGGAAGAGGCAGCCATACAAGTTTGTGGCAGCAAGTGCTGGGACAAAACCAGCAGAGGTCCAAGTCTACACTTCCGTGATCCCAGTGACCAGCAAAGGATTTCTAGAATTCCTGACACATATCAATACTATTATTTAGACAAGTGTTTTTCATATTTTCTCATAAAATTATGCATAACCCTGTACAGCATCTTGCACATATGTGCACCTGTGAGGCCCATGGGAAAGAAGGGAATGAATGTTGAGAGCCAATGAGCCAGGCCTTTTCCTTCAGTTATTTCACTTCACTGAATGAAACTAAACTCAGACAGAAGCTAGCTTAAGCCCTTGGAGTAAGAGTGAGGGTAGGCAGAAAGCACGATTCCTGCCTTCTCATGGGGGGCTTCTTCTCAAACCGGTTTAACACCATGCTGAAGAACGGACTTCAAGGGCACAATCTCCTGAACAAATTTGTGTGCATTAAAAGAAAAAAAAGACCTAATGCTTTGAACAGTCTCAAAAGCAGTCAGAAGAGCAGCTCTCACTGCTGAGAGCTATGCTGCTTGATCCTAGCACCTCATAAAAACAGTGCTTCTTTAATGTCATTTGACTTACTGATTGCTTCAAAGGAGTAAAGGCAGGTATGTGTGAGTACCCGTGACGTTACTGATATAATATGTATTTTAAAAAGCTAATTTTCATTTGTTTCATGTTCCAGAAGGAAAGCGTACTGTACGCAAGTTGTGGTCACTGTTGCATACTGGCTTTAGTTCATATGTACCTCCAATCTTCATCTTAACCAACTGGCTTGACATGGACAACTCCAAGATAATTCATACCTAACCCTAGCCACAAGGAAGGCCAGGAACACAACCTGCTCCAGAACTAAGAAAAATCAAAGTTGAGGACCAGTCAAAAGCATCTCGCCACGTAAAAGAGTATCTTATTAACTCAGAGTCTGCTCCCAACTCATGGCAACCCCATGTGTTACAGAGAACTGCTCTGTAGGCTTTTCTTGGCTGTAATCTTTATGAGAGCAGACTGTCAGGCCTTTTCTTCCACGGAGCTGCTGAGTGGGCTCAAATTGTTGACTTTTTGGTTACCAGCAGATCACAAACAATATGCAGAGACATCAAAAGACCAGACAAGGGCTCTACCGCTCCATGACAGTATTGTCAAGAGTTGGATTTGAATCAGAGAACCAGGGTTCCCATCCTGTTTCTGTAATGCTGCAAGACTTCTATGAGCCACATATATTTTCTCATCTGGAAAAGGGTCATACTGTTGGGAGGACTGAATGAAATCACGTGTAGCGAAGGGACAGTATTTGCCAAACAGTTCATTCCTACACAGATTAGAAACAGGAAGCAGAGCCGAATGAGGCACATCTTTTGTTCTCTGGTCCCATTTACTGCTTTCAGGATCAACTAAAATCAATTCTTTGGTCTGTAAGTTTTCACTGGTTTCACTATTGTCCTCGCAATGGAAGTTACTAGGAGCATGGGTGCCTGTGGCAGAAGCAACGAAAACTAGAAGGGAGAGGATGAGTAATTATAAAGGAAATGAAAGTCGAGGAAGCAAGTAGAGAGAAGAGTGCTGAAATGCACTAAACAGAACAAATTTCTGGCTTTACTGCTTACTTCATCCCCTTGGTTGGGGGCTCCAGGTTTCCTTCTGCAAAACCACCATGTGAACACAGGGCTAACAGGAGGGCCAAGTGAGGCAGTGTGAAGGCACCTAGCACAGTGCTGAGCCTACAGAAGCAGCCAGCACATGCCAGGCCTCTTCTCTTCCTCCAGAAATAGACTAGGTGCTTCCTTCCACTAAGCAGGTTTCAGGAGTTAGATCCAGAAACAAACTCCAGACTTGCCCTTCAAATGAAGGAGTTTAGGCTGTTGAGCTACTTTTATGCAGATAAAAGGGAGTCAAAGGGGACAGACAGGCCTTACTCTAAGTTGCCCAGCGAAGGGAACAGTGTTCCCATACTTGTAAGGGGTTTAAAGCAGAGAAATTTTCCTTTTATTTTTAGGTGAGGAAAAGGGGCAGAGATCAGTGGAGGCATGGGAGCAGGACTGTGTACAAAACTTCAAGTGCCTTCACATCTCAGCATTTCATTCTTATGGTCCATATTACCTTTGATACTTTTTTAAAAAGGCCGATTTTCCTTTTAATATAATTATCTAGCGCAGGGAGGTTTGTGCAGACATGATTTTAAGAACAGAAGAGTGAAAGAAGGGTCTTTTTGTAACCTTCAGGTTCTCTCCATGCTATCCCCGCCCCCCGTGAGTGACACACAAAGGAGGGCCCTCCGCTTGTCCACTGGGATAGCTGCTCACCACTACTGGCCATGTTGAACAAAACTAAACCATATCAGCAAATTCCTGCCCTGCTCCTGTCTACCTTTTCCTGCACCGGGTAAATCCTACAGGAAAATACCACTACTTTCAGAAACAATCATGTCAACTTGGAGTCAAACATGTTTAGAGGCGACTGCTCACTAAGGCAAATGAGCTCAGAGATGAGAAGGATTCACCTCTTCCCACCTCCACAAGTACCAATTGTACCCCCAACTCTCCTAACTTCCTGCTGGTTCCTTTCCGCCTGAAAATCAGTGGAATAAACTTACTGACTAGTCACTGCTATGCATACGTAAGTGGCTGGAACCAAAGCGAGGCAGATCTAATTTATCCCATCAACTAGGCAAATTAAAAATAAGTACACCCTCTATACATAGCCTGCTATCACAGAGAAAAACATTTCCATAGCCACAAACCACATCCCTCAACAGCCAGTTTACTGCTAGGAAAAAAAAAATCCAAAGTGCATTTACTATGAGCAGCAGGTCAGCTGCATTACTTTCATATGTAAATCAAAGCCCCTGGATGAAACAGACTTGAGCAGAGAACATGCTTTATTGAGAAGAAGATATAGAATAGCACATTCTACCACATGTGGGGAAGGGTTTTAGCTTCTGTAAAAGGCCTTTACCCCTTAAGAAAACCCCTAGTGAAGCTGCTTTTGGATAAATTTAACAGTGACACTGAAACTGGAGGGGAGCTGCCACTGAACATGCTTAAAATTAGCACCCCCCCCCCAAACCCACAGTGAATATAAGTAGTGTACAGAGATGACAAGAGAAAGGCACAAATGACCAGAATGTGGTGAGGGCTCCACGTGAAGACAGCAGTGTTGTCAGAGACCAAGTTGGGAAGGGTGACATGTCATACATCAAAAGCTGCCCCAAGATAGCAGGTTATAATGGGCTGGAGAAAAATTAGAGGGAACATCTCTTCCTTCACTTGAACAACACCAAAAATAGGAGACCAGAGAATAGGGGGATGGTGACAAATCCCAAAAAAGGAAATGGAGGAGGAGTTCTTGGGAGGGAGAGAAGCACTTTAGTCCTCGAGGGATGGTGAGGCACTGTTGTCAAGAGAAAGCAAACCTTGGCAGGGGTGGCTGTTCTGCCTTGCTGAGTCATGGGCTGAGAAATGGATGTGATTTTCAATTATTTTCTACCTCTCTGAGGACAACTGGACAAAATCAGTGCAATGTATGTGGAAGGACAGGAGAGATATATCAGACGGGTACTGGTGAAAAGGTTTCTGCAGCATAATTAGCCAGCTAACATGTAACATGAAAGAGAAATGGAAATTATTTTGGCATCTGCAAAACAAAAAAGGGACAGGGAGTAAAGAGAGAAGAAAATATTTACTACTGGGTACTTTCTGATGAGGCAAAAAGACAGAAGTATATCCATTCCACTGCCCACAGGTGGACTCGAATCAAAATACAGAATCACCACCTCTTAATTCTTCTTTCCATCTCATTCGGATGATTATGTGCTGTTACCAAGACAAATCCCTGGGAAACTTCAAAAAGCATTTGGCGCTGGTCAGCCTGATATACTGATCAAAAACAGGCCTTTCAATAAATCTAGAGAGTAAAAAAAAATCTAAAGCAAGATGAAATCCAAAGTGAATGGAAATGGACCCCTCCCAGTACACGCACACTCAGAAGTGCTACCTCTTCCCTGTCCCTCCACAAAACACATGTGCGAGGAGTAAAGGTCCAGGTGGTGGCAACCATATTCGGAGGTCTGGTGACCGGGCGGCAAGAAGCACAATTACAAACAGTTTAGAAGACACAACAACACAACCTCATGGGGCTAGAGGAGGTGAGGAGAGAACCAGTGACTGGACAGGTACAGTACCATAACAGAACTCCTTGGGTCAGTGCTATGAGGGATCCGCACTCAAGTCTAATACAGATCCCATCCAGGCAACCTCACTGAGGCCGAAACAACAGTTCCTCAGAACCAGCGTCTGCAGTGTACACGAAGGTCGGAGCCAGGACAGTCCTGAGGGGGATGGCCTTCCCAAAGGATACTGCACTTGCCAATCACAAGAGCAACAGAAATGACAGACAGATCCCTAGGGTACGGATTCCTACTGCTGGGGTTCGCTGGCTCAGAGCGACAGGTCACTTTAAGTGCCCTTGGGAGGGGTCCATTTTAAACAGCTCGGATCCATGGTTTTATTGGAATTGGACCTTTTGGCCTCTTTGGCTATCCACTCATCAATCAGGTCCTGGAGGAGAACAATGGGAAAAATTACACATTACACTAAAATGCTTTTATATACAGATTCCAAAATGACTGTTGGCTAAGAAGAAATCTCCCAAAGGTTTAATATGTGTAGAAAAACCAGTCTTTTGATTTACAAAATGCTTTCCCACCTAACCCATTTCTTCCTCTATGCCCTCAGTGAGAACTGAAAATTATTCACTTTCCTTCATTATACATCAATCAACTAAAATAATTACAACAGGGCATGAACTGGGATAGCATGGTAAAGGAATTTAAAACTACCTCCACAGCCCTGGGTTTGTGAAGATTCCCCTCTACAGGTGGGCAAGTTTCTCCAACCTAAAAAAACTATCAAATGATAAAAGTGCCTTGCAAGAGCAAGCTGCTTAAACAGAACTGCTTGTGTCACCCAAATTTGAGACAGGAGCTTACCAAAAGCTTCTGATAAGGACAAGGTGGACAATAAACTTAACAAAGGCAGAACAGGTATCACTGCCAGCTCAAGCCATGTTGCACAGACACTCAAACGCCTTTAAGAGGGAAGGTTAGTTTTTGGGTCTTAAGGCCCACTTTGCTGTGCTAAGCTGCAGGGGACATCCAGCAATGTGCAAGCAACTGATTAAAAAAACCTCACCTGTCTCTTTAAAACAAGGTGTTTTCCTTTCCAATACTTGAGCATCTGAAGGGCTTGTAGAGTACTGACAATGTCCACAGGATTGACAGCTGTCTCCTGGCTAATTTCTGAAACAGAAGAGTTACTGAGAACCTGGCCCAAGTGCAAACCCCCTTATGAGACCTTCTTTCCTTTTAAGGAAACCCAAATGGACTCCAAATGGTTGAACTCTTTGGTACTCAACCCCAACACATTCAGAAAAAGTTTATAAAGCATTCATCTGACTATTCCAAATATAAAAGAGGGTTATTACAACAAGAAACCACACCTGGTGCCTTAGAAATCAAGGTCAAAAACAGAGCTAAATTCTTCTACCCTTCCATAAGTATGCAGGGGTATCTTAGAAGCTCTTGTATGTACCGGAAGACTTGATTTTTATAAGAATTTAATTGTTAGCAATCTCAGATTTTACAAATCAATTTATACAATCATTCCCAGGGGCCAAGTGTTCTGGAATCCTAAATACTTTTAGTGTGGGTCTCTGCAGTGGCCCATATTCAGTGGGCCTTCCATTCTCATATCCAGATGAAACACAATGAGATAGTATCTTTGCAGGTTACACAGCATCAACAGGGGATCAAGTGGAAAAGTTAGAATATCCAGTGGAGTTAACATTTTGGGTAACAACCATTCTGAAGAGTCAAAAACTAAGCCTTGAAACAAATTTTAAAAAATAATAATACACAAAGAAACTAACCTTTGATAGAAATCTCTTTGCCTTGAAAATTATGCAGGTAACGGAGAAGTACTTCTTTCCAGTAACTGCGGTAGCTGATGAGCCCCAGATCTGAGAGGGGACGTTCTGGGGAGCCAACTTTTTCTTCCACTTTGGAAAGCAAATAACCTGCCAGGAAACAAATACACAGGGTTTTTCCTTGCAACGCTTTATCTTATCCTCATGGCAAAGACCAATGCACCACCATGGGAGAAGTTTTAAAGAGTACAGTCCACTTTGCAGCATCAATTATGGTTCAGTCATTCAACAGAACCTTGTGCAGCTGTTGAGTATGGTACGCTGCCTTCGTACAAACAAAAGGGGAAGAATGCCTATCGGCATTTACTTATAATAGGTATTAACTCTGGAAGGCTTCACTAGAAACTTTAATAACAGTGATATTACCTGTAGGTGTGTACTGGGAACAAGGTAGATGGGACAGAGAGAGAAAGCCTTTTCATTATACAGCTTTTTATATTTTTCAAATCTTTGAACTTTAAGAATAGATTAATCTCAGTAACCCCTATGAAGTACAGGGAGAAAAAAACCCAAAACTGATGAAGTCTCTAGATTTCACATCTAAACATGTAACACTGAATTTCTCAAAAACACCATGGGGATGCAGTCACCAAAATTCATGCTCCAGGAAGTCTACAGGACAACTAATCTGCCTTCTTCAATAAACAGCAAGGTCAAAAGTAGAAATGTTTGGATTAAAATTATAAGCCACATCAACAAATCCAAATACATCGACCCCACCTAGATCTCATTAAAAAATATAAACAAAATGACAAACCAAGGAAATCTGAATACTATTATTTTATATTAAGGAATATTGGGGGGAGGGGGAATGTTAGGTGTAATTGACCTTATCTTTTAGACATACCAAAATAATTGAGGATGGGAATATAGGTAAAAAAAAGATTGGCTATAAAATGTAATTGCTGAAGCTAGGTGATGATTATTTTACTTCTGTATATGTTTGAAAATTTCCACAAAATGAAGGTTTTAAAAAGGATATATTACCTATTCAAAGATACAGTCCTCCCTCAGTGGATTATGCCACCTCCTGATCCATCTCTTCCCAGGTGGCTTAAAAATGAATAAAGGCATAGAAGGCTAATTACAAGAATTCTAATTTCAACTAAAAAAAAGTCATCCGATAGCAGACATTGGATAATAGCTATTATGCAAAGCCTATGTGAGGCATATGGATTGCCTCTACAAAAGTTCTTACAAAAGTGAAATCCCTAACCTCCAGCAACAGATTTTAAACTTTATTCATGTATGTGCTCTGTTTAAAAACCTCAAACTGGGATAATCCTAAAGACTTACTTTCCCATCCTCTATATCTCCTCATCAGGTACCAACTTAGGGTCCAGTATCCATATAGTGTTCAATGTGTATAAGGCAGATTGATGATGTGCAGTTTTTCCCCATCTGCTAATTAATATCGGTGTACTTCCACTATATGCCAGGGATGGTAGAGACCAGAGAACAAGACAAACAATATTCACATGGTCTGTGCCTTATGGAGGGACCTAGCAGTTTCACTTACTGAAATCAATGAGCATCTTGCCATAGCCCTGTCTCATGTACTGAGGCATGGTAAGGATACAGGATACATTGTAGTTGAGGAATGAATTCTTTTCCTAAAACCAAGAGCAAACAGATGAACAGGTCATAAGGTGTCAGCACTCCCAGAGACACAAAACAAAGCTGCTTGCAAAATATCTGGCTAACTAGTCCTGGCGAGAGGCTGTGAGGCTCACAGCTGTTATGTCTACACCCTTTCTGATAGCCTAAGCCATTAATCCCAGTGATTCCCTATCTCTAGGACCTCCAGTCTCATTTTAATGGGGCTGACAATGGATTTTAATAGTCACGGAGCAGGGTAAGAAAGTTCAGACTGCTGAGTTAGTCTACAGCAGCCCTCTTTAAAAGGTGGCTGCCTGATGGAGAAAAGGGAACCCAAACAGTTAAGTCCTGCAGAGAGGCTGAAAAGAAAGCTATTCCAGCCTCCGTTCTGGAAGGGGATCAAAACACAAATAAAATCACAAAAGATCACATATTGTATGATTTCATTTATATGAAATGTCCAGAACAGACAAATTTATAGACAAAATAAATTAACAGTTGTCTAGGGCTGGGAGGGACTGGGGGGAAATGAGCAGTGGCTGCTAATGGGTATGGGGTTTCTTTTCAGGTTAATGAATATGTTCTAAAATTGACTGTTTAGTTTTGTAAATCTGTGAATATACTAAACCATTGAACTATATAGTTTAAATGGGTGAATATTAATAGTATATGAACTATATATAAAGTTATTTTAAAAAAAATCATAAGCAAAGTAAAACATAGCCTTAATTAAGTCTTAAACGACTGTACTAGAAGGAGGCCAGCTACAGAACCAGGCAAAAGGAACATATTCCTGGTTTTAAGCTCGTAACAAAGAGGGCAAAGCCAGGAGAGTTGGCCTGACTACAGGATGTGGGCTTGCTGGTTAGTAGGCAGGGCCCTGGCCAGTAATTAATAGGCAGCTCCAGCCCACAAGCCAGAAACAAATAACCAGAGGCTTTTAATAAAGAATTGCATGTTTTCATTAAACAATCTCTGATATGTGCGTTTGCTTTTCTTCCTCTTTCTCTTCCCCAAGAGAAGGACTGTCACCATTGCCCAGGGTAACACCTTTTCCTGTCAGTGATTTATCAACTCCCATATGCCAACATCAATCACCCTGCTCTGGACATTAGCTTCTTTATCTCCAGGTCCTGCTGACCTTGGAAAAATATCCAATCAGGTGACAGCCAGTGTTGTCTGCTTCTGTCATAACATAGAACAGGAAGGGCTCCACATCGTAATATAATGTCTTGTGGTCCAGAAAAAGCTTGGCCAGCAAGCACAGGTTTTGGCAGTAGATCTAGAAGCAGAGAAAGAGAGTTCATGTGTGGGTCAGTGATTTCTAAGCCTATCAGATAAAGGCCTAGAATTAAAGATCATACCACTACTGTTAATGAAACAGAAATTACGTTATTTTGGCCATTAGTAGAGTTTTATCTTCTTCACAAGGTGCGATGCAGATAAAAACACACTCTTGAAACCTATGAATGCAGAGCATTATCATCCTGCTTTCTTAAGTCAGCACTCTTTTTTTACCTTGTTTTTCTTGCCGTCTACCTCAAACACGGAAATTGAGCCTTTGCGATATATCTCGTCACCAGGCGGGTGCTTCCACACACACTTGGCCTGCAAGAGAAGGAAATACACATCAGAGAAAGAAATCCAACAAGACTGCTGCTCAATAGGTAAAAGGAAATCACAGGTGAAATCTGGTTAACTGAGTGTATGGACAGTTAGCCATACTTGAGAACACAGAGCAAAGCAAAGCAGAGATTTTTCCAGTAAAACAAATAAAGCCCCTAAAATTACTGCAATATACTTATGGCATTTTCACAGCAGTTTGGAACAAGTTTTCTGGATTATATTCTGGCATTGTTTCAACTCAGGAGATTAAAATCATCCACTACGTAAAAGTCAGATAAGTAAAAATACCCTTGCTTATTATAAAATGCCTCATGCTAACAGGAAATTCTTAAGCAGCTTATTTCCAGCAGCTTAGAGTTGCTACGTACTTTACCCTCACCTTTACCAGTAACTTCTCATTACCACCTAACCACTACGGTCTTCTTTTTTCAGATTAGAAAATAGACCCATAATGATAAAAACTGCTTCCCCTGTGCCCCAAAAGTGCCCCTTTGTGGCTTTAAAAAAGAAAAAAGAAAAAAAAAAAGGTACAGCAGCCTGACTGAACAGCAGGAGGCTGGGGGGCACCTGGCCACAAGAGGGCACAAGGAACCCCTTTCTTCAACCTCAATTGCTGACTGCTTAAAAGCAGCCAGTCAACCATTACTGTAAATAGGTGAATTCTTGAAAGCTTTCATACAAATATATTTCAAAATATCATTTAAAATATATATGCATATGTGGCATTTTCTATGGAACAAATTTTACTGCAACTCTTTTTGTCAATTCAAGACTCATGCCCTAATTTGTTACATGTAAATCCAAATATTTATTAACTGGAATTGCCCCTTTACTCATGTTGGCTCTTCCCAACAATAACCAAAGCAATGCAACAATTATTTGTTTAGAAACAGAAGCCAAGCCAAAGAAACTCCACGTCAGTGACTACATCTGAAGCAATGGGAACCACAAGAGGCAGGGATTCAAACAGATTTGTAGTTCCTTAAATTCAATTTTTATAACTCGTATAAATACAGTAAATCCTCAAATATTCAGAATGTTTATCTGGTCTTCAGATCACCTTACACCCTATACTTTCCCCCACCACTACTACTTCTTGCCCTTTGTGGCCATCTCATTGGTTACTGTTACTGAATAAACAGAAACAAAGAGGAAGAAAAAGACATAAATGGTAAGCAGTTCACATCAATAAAAGTACTGGTCTTACTGTCACACAGCAACACAAGAGTTGGTTTATCTCCAGTGTCTACAACCTATGTCTGTGTTCAGTTCTTCCCAACACCATTATCCCCACGCTCCTGCATCTCCACCAGTCCTGGCCTCGCCCACCATCTCCGCTCCACAAGTGTGCTGGAGTCTGAGCCATAAGGCTATGAACAGTGTACTCCAGAGTAGAGAACACAAAAAAGCCGTATCATCAAACTGGGAAAAAGACTATAATGACAGAAATCATAGGAAACCTATGTTGTAGATGCTCAGCATCCCGCTTACTCTTTCCCTTTCCCTCCTCCATGGCAGAAATTCTCTTTAAGGGAAAGAAAAATGGCTTAAAGCCTCAAAACAGCTACTAAACACATCTGTCAATCCTATTTTAATAGAAAGAAATGTTCAGAAACCAGAAAGTGCTAAACAACTTGAGGAAAGGAGAATGCACATCGCTGATACTTAAGGCACCAGAGGACCCATTTTGTTAATTTCATAATTTGTCACAGGCTGATCTCCCTTAAATGTGAATTCATTCAACACACATTTATTGGACATCTATTGTCCAGGCTAGCTGCCAGGGATACAAAGGCAAGACATGTCAAATGAAGTCTTATTTTCATCCAGTTTGGGACACACAAAAACTATGGGCAGAGATAAATTCGTATCTGGAAGAAGAATTGGAGGAAAGCAGGGAGCAAGAAAGAAAATAACAGGATGCACATAACAGGATGTGGCTAAGGGCCACTGACCACTGTGGGTGCCACCCAGCACTGGCCATGGCATAGGCTGTATACCCCCACCTGAAGTATAACTTTTAATTTCCTATGCCTTTGTCCTATTACTGTGGACCACTGAGAGTTGCCTGGATAGACATCAGCTCTAGGGCAAACCTTAAGATCCTTTAGTTTATCACCGTCACGGCACTGCAGAGGAACACAGCTTACCATGTGTCGGCGAAGAATTGTTTGGCTTTTCATATATTTTAAACAGAATTCACACATGTAGAGACGTCCCAGTCGTGCATATTCTTCAGGATAGGGAGAATGGTACCAAGTGTCAAGCTCATAGCGGCCAAAAGCAATTGTTTTAATCATGTTGCTCCCCTCTGTGATTTGGCCTTGAAGCCTTAACTTCTCCTATTGCAAAAAAAAAAAGTTAACAGAAAATAAGAATTTATTATCTTTGTTTTTAAAAGTTTATACTAAGCTCTTGTGTGTGACACTATGCTAGGCTATGAAAACATCAGATTTGGCATCTACCCAGGAGAAACTTGCACTAAAATTGGGCTCCAAAGGCATGGATAATCACGCAGGCTTATAAAAATGTATTATCTACATTGCCCAGAGCAACTATCTCAACGTAGAGTGGCTTCTCTACTTCCTACCACGCTCTGGGCCTCATCGCTCTAACATCAGAATGAAGTCCTTGGTAAACCTTATTTTTATCAGCCTCAACCAGACTGGATTATAAAGGTAATCATGTACCATAGACACAAATTTCCCACCCTTATAAAACATTCTAAAACTAAGCCGAATAGGTTTTCTAGAAGGGAATAATCCTTTTTTTTTTTTTTTTTAAAATCTACAAAAGCTTTTATAAAGCTGCGTGTCTGTGTGACATATATCCACAGTGGTCACTCTCCCATTTAGGTCCTTTTAAAAATATTTTTGAAATGCAAGTGATGATTTAATTCTGAAATCTAAACTCTTAAGAAAGCAGAAAATATTTTTGGCTATTCATCTCCACTCAGTGGCTAGAAGTTGGCTACAGAAATCATTTTTAATCATAACCAGGTGGAGAGTTGTGAAAGGCTAGCCTTGGAAATGTTCCAGAGAGGGATCGAGAAACCCGGCAGCAACAGCCTTTTGCTGTGTGGGCAGCCAAAGGTGGCATTAGTTAAACCCTTCCGCCTGCAACTTTTCACATGTGTTTGAGGAATTTAATAAAGCATTTGATTTAATTTAAAAAAAAAAGAGAGAGAAGATGAGATGCACTTTACAAACTAGGTTTCGCCGAACACATCTTATCTGTTAAATCAGAAGTAAACTCAAATCACCAGAATTTTCTTACAGCAAAGCTGTTAAAAAATTCTGCTTAAGGCATCAAAACAAAGTACAAACTCATTATAAATATTAATCAAAGGAGAAAACTACCTTTACACATAGAATTTTAGCTGTGTCAAAGATTAATTCTAAAATATCTGGCCAACAGCCTTTCCCACTATTCCTCTTTACTGTTATTTTTATTATTTTATAATAAAAGTACTGAAGAGCTGTGAGGAAACATGGAGGAGTTCCTGTTTGGGTTAAGAGGACAACAGAGATGGGTATCCCCCAGTCTAGAGGCTCTCAGAATTGCAAATCGCCCAACTGAGACAAAGGGGCACCTATTGTTCTATCTAGCCTTACCACCTCAAACCAAGTAAGTCCTTCCAGGAGTTTGAGTGGAGGAGAGGGAAAAATTTTTGGAATAAGGGAAGGGAGGCAGGTGATTCACTTTAAATACGAAAGGGAAGAATGGCCTAAAAAATGGACAGCTGGGGGAAGGGGAGATTCCAGTAGCAAGGTACATTTAATTCCCATCAAAATGACTTCTAATCATTTTTCTTGGCAGTCCTGAGTGCCTTTCACAAGTGGTCCTCAGCTTGAAGATTTTAATACTCACCAAATCCTCTGAAGCCCGGGCTTGTGCTCTTCGGAAAAGATCCAAGTCATACTCGCTTGTCAGGTTTTCCAAGAGAGGCTCCCGAGTGTTCCCATAGGTCTGTCTGTGCTCCTAGGAAAATAACCACAGCGTCTAAGAACTTAACCTGTTTCACTTCAATCCATGCCAACTAGAGGGCCAAGCACAATCATGAACTATTTATTTGGTGCCTACTACATGCCAGGTCTTATAATAGGTGTTACAAATTCAGCACAAGACATACTATTTATCAGGTTAATGCCAGAGACACCGACTACTACCCACCCTAGTCAGTAAACCTGAAGCAGAAATGCTCCTATACCTCCTCAAAGGAGTTCCATTTTTCTGTCTCTAAATGGGCAACTCAAGGATCAGAACTTCATGACTCCATTTCTTTATCTGAAAACATGCGTTCCAGTACAAATAAAATCAGTACAACAAACCTAGAGGCACTCCAAA